TGGTGTGGATCTCAGTAGCTCTTTCCTGAGCCACTGTGCAGCCAGCTCTCACCATCCCCACAGGTTCCCGTAGGGCTGTGTCTGTGTGGGTTTTTCAGGAGGCTGTGCATCTGCAGGCCCTGCAGTGGGGATCTCTGTGTGCAGATTGGGGAGCCCTGTAACTAGCCAGGGGGTAGTGAGGTATGCTGTGCAAAGCTGGGCAGAGAGCAGGCAGCACAGTGCCCGGCCCCTGGGCCAGCAGAGGGGAGACCCTCTGGGTCGCTGCGCCCCTGTTCGCAGATGAAGCTGGGGCACGAGAGAGCGGCGTGACGGGGACCCAGAGGCCAAGGTCACAGCGTTAGCACTGAACTTAAAGGAGATGCCGAGGATCCCGATGTCTAACCTGGAATTGCTGTCGAAGAAAAACAAACTGCCCAGACAGTGCAATGTTTAAAAACAAGCCAGTCAGTCACACTAGGAGGAAAGGATATTGAAAAATCGACTTCAGATATAAAGTTTGACGTGTGAAGGTAGTTAGAGTTGGAGGGAAAACGTAGGTAAATAGTTAACATTTCAGCCATATGTACCTGTACAACGGAAAACAAATATTTTAGGCAGGGTATTTTAATAGCCATACCTCCAGTTTCATTTTCAGTATTTTTAGCTTTTGCCTTATTTTAAATATAGTACAGTGTTAAGGACCGATTTTGTTTTAACTTTTTATTGCAGGCACTTAAAGAAAAACACACAGGGAATGCACACTGCACACGAGGCAAAATTTTATACATACAGGAAGGAAACAGATGAGTAAAATTTACTCCGCACACCATCACCCCCATTTCAACATGAATCAGCTGATGGCCATTTGATTGCATTAGTTCCTCCACCCACTTCCCTACATCTGATATAAAATTGCAGCTTTTCAGTCATTTTTGACCTCCATAATTTCATATGGGTTAGCTCAGTATTTTTTTTTTAATATATTTTATTGATTTTTTACAGAGAGGAAGGGAGAGAGATAGAGAGTTAGAAACATCGATGAGAGAGAAACATCGATCAGCTGCCTCCTGCACATCTCCTACTGGGGATGTGCCCGAAACCCAGGTACATGCCCTTGACCGGAATCGAACCTGGGACCTTTCAGTCCGCAGGCCGACGCTCTATCCACTGAGCCAAACCGGCTTCGGCTAGCTCAGTATTTTGAAACAAATTCCAGACACTATCATTTCTTCCATGACTATTTCAGTCTATATCTTTAAAAGATAGGCAGTCTTTGAAGATGGGACGATATCATGACTGAATCTGAAAAAAGTAACAGCAATCCCCAGTATCGTCAAATATCTAGTCAGTGCCCGATTTCCAGCTGTCTCCTACACATTGTCATTTGTGTACACCTGTTTACCTAAATCAGGATTCACATAAGGCCCACACGTTGTGGTTTTTGCATATGTCTCTTAAATGTTTTTTAATTTACAGGCTGCCCCTACCTCACTTTTTAAAAACAATTAATTTTTTCCTTGCAATTGAAAAAAACCTAGCTCTTAGTTTTTCAAGTTTCCCGTAGTTTGGGGTTTTTAAGGGCCTAGATTTTGATTAGTTTTGTTTAGTCAGAAAAGTCTAAGTTCACCACAAATATGGGGGTGTGAAGAAGTTGCTATAATCACCAATATGACTAGATGCTATTTCCTGCTCTTTCACAGCATCTAGCTCAGTGCCTGGGACAGGACAGGTGATCAGTGTATATTTGATCACCGAACACACGCCTGAGTGTTCGCTGACCAAGTAGATGCGTAAATAAATATGACGGGTGTCGGAGTGGGGGTTTTACATTAGAATGTAGATTTCATTTCACAGTTTCAGTTCATGGAGAAATAATAACGGAGTAACAGATGCTCACTTTTCAACAAACTTTGATGAAACATATCCCCCACACTCCACCGACTATCCAAAACCATCATGGGGGTTAGAAGATGCATCCTCGTTTACGTATCTCTAGGCAAGAAAGCAGCTTGCAGTGAAACCCTTGCACATACTTGATTAGGAGGCACACCTCTGAGGGTTGCGGAAATGTGCATCTCAGAGTTGATGGCACGTGGTGCTCCCCTTAGTCCAGGACACCTGCAGTCACGTCGGCAATGGCCGTGTCTCCCCATGGCCCCTCAGAGGAGCCAGTTGTGGAGGGCACAGTCCTGGGGGGGGGGGGGGGGGGGGGCGTGGCCACATCAGCCCAGGAAAGAAGTGACAGGTCCGCTGTCAGGTGCAGCCGTGCGGGTCAGGTTCCATCCCAGCCAAGGGTACGTTGTGAAGTCTTCCTGTGACAAAGGTCTGGTCCCTCAGAGGGACACTTCCTTCCGTAGAAGGCAGGCGACTCACCCTTGAGTTTCAGTCTGCGTGCATCCGCCCTGCAGGCAGCCATGGGAAGGCCTCCCAGGTTCTGTGGCCCGTGACCGTGAAAGCCCTAGTGTTCTCTACGGTTTCTGCAGAGCATGCCAAAGCTCACTCTGCGGGTCTCTGGAGGTGTGTCACCGAAGGACCTCATCCGCACGGAGCTAGTCATGCGTTGCTCTCTGTTGTATGAGAAACACCAAGCTCTGAGTGCACGTGTCCCGGGCACACATGCCCCTGGATAGGCCAGGTGGCTTTCTTCCACCGAGAATGCTGGCTTGTGTGTCGTGACTAGGTATGAAGATCTGCGGTTAAACCAGCCCTGCCCAGTCTTCCTTCAGTTCAGGTGGATGGAGGTTTTAACCAGCCAAGGATGCTCGGAGCATGCGGGCCGGCTGTCAGAACCCTTCTGGGGTCACTCAGGCAGTTTAACTCCGTGTCACGTGTTCTCAGCAAACAGCTTCCCCGGGACTGGGAGGCCCAGGCCCCTGGGCCACGCAGTAGGTGCAGAAACGTGCCTCCGTGTGCCCGACGGTCTCCTAGTGAGAAAACCCTGTGTGCTCAGTGGGCGTTCTCACTTGAGGGAGACCCTCCGGCACGGAGGTAACTGTCTGTCTAAGGAAGTCACACTAAGGGACACCGTAGTGTTCTAGGTTGTGCATATGTGTGTTTCAGAAATGTTACAACGTCAAGATCGATGAGGACAGAGGTGACTAAAGCAGAGGCGTGGTAGCTGACGTTTTGGGGCCTCCACCAAGTGCTAGGCTCTAACTAACACCTCATTCAGTGCTCCCTGTGACGGCAGGTCATCTCCCTTTCGCACATGAGGAAATGGAGGCACAGAGAGGTTGAGTAATTTTCCCGAGGTTGCACTGCTTCGTGGAGCTGGAGTTTTAATCCAAGTTAGTCCAACCCCAGAACCCTCACTCGGGGCCTCCCCACCGTTCAGTGGCAGTGGGATTGGAGCCAGGCCCTGGGGGGTGGGTCGAATAAAATGGAGGTCACTCTCCGTCACCCTCTAGCACCCGGGAGCATCACACACAAGGGCCTGGAGAGGAGGGCTGCAGTGAGGCCTTCAGTGGATGAGCCAGGAAACTGGCGCAGTTTGTGAGGGAACAATGGGAAACAAAGGCGGAGGGAGAGAGGGGGAGGGATGAATACTTCCTGCCTCAGAGGATCGTTTGCAGATGAAAGATGGAAGCTTTGACACTCTGAAGTGCTTTGAGATCAAAGAATTGGTGCTAGGGTGGGAAATGGGATCTAGGAGGACCTCTGACTCACTGGGTGAGGAGCAGGCCTGCTCTGGGTTAGTTCTGAATGAGAGAGACCTTGGGTGGAAGTTACAGAAAGCGGGTGATGGTTTAGCGGAACTTTCCAATAGAGCTGTTGGCTCTAACAGGTGAGCTGGTAAAAAACAGCATGTTCCGTGTCCCTGTCCCAGGCAAGACAGGCCGCATGACCACCTGTCAGGGCTGAGAGTAGAGCGATCCCTTCATTGCCGGCAAGAGGTCTCGAGTTTTAAGCCTTAATCACTTGGGTGCTGCTCAGAGCACAGTGGGAAAGCTGGGGGCTCTACGGCGGGATCTTGTGAAACGCGGCAGAACTGAGCTCCTTGGGAGGATGTGGGGCAGGATGGAGTTGACATTGCAGGCAGGGGTTTCTCATGGCACAGGAAGCGGTGGGGAGGAGGGGCTGCGGTGGGAGGTTTAGGTGAAGGAGGTGCAGCTGGTCTGGGGAGCAGGAGACAGTTCTCTGGAGAAGGGAGGAGTGCGGAGGGGAAGCCAGGAGTGGGTCCCAGGGGAGGCCCTGTGTTTCCAGCCCTCACTGGATTGGGGGAATGGCGTGTGTTTTGTGGAGGAGGGAGCGTTTAACTCTGAACGTGTGAGTTTGAAATGACAGCCTGTAGGCAGCTGTTGGGGGAAGTTGAGTCTGACAGGCGGAGAGCTCAGGTAGAGTTGGAGGGCAGATGCGGTCGAGTACTCCAGGATGTCATCGGAGGCCCTGGAAACAGGTGCCTTCTCTAACGGGAGGTGCCGTACGGGAAGAAGACCAAGACCCAAGGAGAAGACGAGGAAAGTGAGCCGAGAAGAAAGGCCCGGGGGGCGTGGCGGGAGGAAGAGAATGAAGGTCTCGTTCCCGGGAGCGAAGGGAAGGACGAAGGGGTTCTAGGACGGGGCGGGAGGCCTCCGTCTGTTCACTAGAGCTCCTGTCCTGTGACCTCGGTGCAGTGCGCACGCCCGGGGCTGCTTTCATGAGGCCCAGCTGTCAGTTTTAAATGTGTGTTTTAGAGAAACCTAGAGATGCTCGTCCTTTTATCTTGGAGGAGATTGGCTTTGCACAGATGAACTTGGGGGTGGGGGTTGCATGAGGGTGGGAAATGGTCTTAAGGCCATTGTCTTAGGCCTCAGGGAGGGGACCTCTAGACAAGGGACTGGGGCACAGGGACGAAAGGGGATGGGAAGACGAGGCTGCCAGGAGTCACCAGGCCAGGCAGGAGTGGGCACCACAGAGGCTGGGAGACACTGGGCACATCGTGGGCAAAGGCCGCTCACGCATGACCCGCAGGATCTCTAGACATAGGCTCCATAGACAACTGCACACCCCGTGTTTATTTGGGTTCCTTGCTAGAGAGAGAGAGAGAGAGAGAGTGTGTTAGAGTTAGAGTGTAGGTTTAGATATTCTCATTCCAATCACTGAACTTTCGGCCGAGTATAGTGAAGCTCCCTGTTGTCCTGCACCCGGATGGAGTACGGGGTACACTTCACTGTACAGTTCACTGCACTGTCCTCCCAGAGTGAATGTGCCAAGGGGATGGTCGCCCTGAAGACTGACATGGACAGGCTGCTTCTGAAGTGGGGACGGGAGGAGCCAAGCAGTGTGAGAATAGAGGCACTCGGTCTCCATCACAGAAGCGGTGCAAGGTGCAAGGTGGGGGCGGGAGAGGAGGCTGGAAATGGTTCTGTCCGGGCTCCACTGGGATTGGTGTGGACTCGGGCCTGATTGAGACTGGGAGCTCCTGGAGTCGGACCGTGTTGCCAGATCAAAGACCGAGTTCAGTTCCTGTGTCTCCACCGGATCTCAGAAAATTAGTGTCTGAGTCATAGTTTTCTCAAGTGCAAAGTGACAAAATATCACTTGCCACTAATCAAACTAGATCATGTGAAACACCCATCTTCGATTGAAAAATTAGAATGATTTGGGTTTTTAAGTATATGCAAGTCTGACTGGCTCCTTACTTTGATAAGAAAAGTAGAAGCTGAATGAGTGAAAAATAACTTGAGACAACAAAAGAAACCCATGAAAATGAGCAGTTCCTCCCAGAATTCCTGCAGATGTTCTGTGGTTGCTTTTGAGAGAAGTGAGGAAGTGGGAGTGCCTGGAAGCGGGCGTGAGGGGCGGGGACATGCGCAGAGGGGCCACTGAGGAGCCGGAGAAGGAAGGTGCCAGCAGAAAGGTGGGCCAGGGCAGCAGATGCTCACCTGGCAGCGCGCAGGCCTCCCGTCGGGGGCCGGAGGGTAGTGTGAGGGAAGGGGACTTGAGGAAAGGCCACTGGATTGGGGTGAGCAGAGTTGTACTGGAGATTGGAGATAATAGCAAATATTTTTAAAATTAAAATACGTTTTATTGATTTTTTAGAAAGAGAAGAAGGGAGAGGGATAGATAGAAACATCAATGATAGAGAAACATCCATCGGCTGCCTCCTGCACACCCCTCTACAGGGGATCAAGCCCTCAACCCAGGCATTTGCCCTGACTGGGAATCAAACCTGTGACCTCTTGGTTCATAGGTCAACGCTCAACCACTGGGCCACACCAGCCGGGTGCGAATATTGTTTAAATCCGTGCCAGGTGCGTGTTTATCTCACTTGGTCCTCCCTCGTCTTTATGACACGGTCCCTGTTCTCAGTGTAGCGCTGTCCTCCATCCCTCAGAGAGGCCTCAGGAGGTGAAGTCCAGCGACTAGTGAGAGGCGGAGGCTGGCTTTGACCCCGTCTGTGTGGCTGCAGAGCCAGGCCTGTCTTTCCCTGCCCCCAAGCCCCGGGAGTCAGAGCGATTCCTTGGGTGGGATGGCGGCAGGCCGCAGGCTACCTGGGGCCCAGGCACGTGTCCAGACGCTTGGCGTAAGGAAGAGCTGAGATGGTGACGCAAGTGACCGACAAGTGAGATTTCCCCAGGAAGGACAGACTTCTTACTCGGAACGTGTAGAAGCGGGGTAGATGCACGAGGCTGCCAGAGAACAGGGTGACGGCTCTGCCCCGCGAGGCTGTCTGGACCCTTCCTTATGCCCACCCCCCTTGGTACATCTGGTCAACCATGCAGTGTGATTTCTCCTTTAGAGCTGAGCTGTACAGTGAAGTGATGTCTTTGCAGGTGTAGGTGCTGTGGTAGGCGTTTCCAGGTGGCATCATGAAGGAAGGAGACCATTTCCCCTCCCTAAGTGGCTCCCTAAGTCACTGTGTGTGTGTATGTGTGTGTGTGTGTGTGTGTGTGTGTGTGTGTGTGTGTCGGGGGTGGAGGGGGAAAGTGTGTTCATCATTGATTCCAAGTAGTGCATAAATAAGTTGATAAAAACTTAGAGGCGTGGACTTTTCACAGCACAATCCTGCCGACATCCCGGCCTGCTTCCAGCCTGCTCCCAGCCTGTGTTCCTCCTGCCCCTCCACCCTCCTCTCCATTTGGGTTTCCCAGAACAGTTGTCCTTGTGGCATTTTTTTGGTCTGGCTCGATTGCCGTCACAGACACACGTGCAGTCTTGCTGTGGGGAGACCTCTCCCATCACAGTGCTGAGTCACTGTGTCCCTCAGGCAGCTCCCCAGTGGCTGGGCTCTGGGGTTGGGGGTGGGGTTCTGGTGGCAGGAAGAAGGCAGGCCTGAGGAGTGACCCTGAGGAAGAGGAAATGGTCTCATTGTTTCACTCGCAGGAACGTGTGGCTCCCGGGCTGCACGGGACACCCAGGCACCTGGACTCATGTCTCTGAAGCTGTGGGTGTGGGTTGCTCGATGGACTTGAGGGGGAGGGAGGCCCTGGCTGGGAGTCTGGCCCCCACCCCCAGGGCAGGATGCTCAGTGGCCAGAGTCCAGGGCAGACCTTACCTGGAAGAATTCACCCACAGGGTTCCTGTCCCTGGGCCGTGATTGAGGTGGTTTCCTCAGAAAGGGAGGGAGGAGCTTTTCCTCAGAAATCATAAAAGGGGTGGCACGATTCCTCCCTGTGCCCACGCACGCCCTCGGAGAAGGAAGAGCAAGATCTAGGCACGTGGTGCTGCACGCGGGCCTGGCGCAGCTGCTTAGCCTGGACTGTGGCTGCAGGTGTGAAAGGCAGGCACCCACGTGGGACCACCTCCTCCTCCGAGGAACCTGCGCAGAATCGGGTGGCTTAGGCTCCAGGCTGACGGGGGAATAAGGGAGTGAATGACCCAGCATGAAAAAAAGTGACAGAGGGTAGAAGTGAAGCTGAGGAGAGGGAGGGAAGGAAGTGTTCTCAATTCTGTTTTCTTTTCTTCTTCCTAGCAAGAACCAGTTGAGTCATCTTTGGGGCTTAGTAATGGAGTAAGTGATCTTTCTCCTGAGTACGCGGTCCTGGCTTCAGCTATAAAAAATGAAGTGGATAGTACGGTGAACATCATAGGTAAACTGTTTTTGACATCTTCCTTCTTATACACACGAGCAGCCCGCTGGGGTCCGACACTGGTTAACCGTGATTTGAAATAACAGTCAGTGGGAGGGGGTCTTGGAACCGTCTCACCCTGCGAGTTCCGGCCCCCAGATTTCAGGGCTGAAAAATAAAGGTGTTTGAGGAGCAGATAAAGGGACTCCCATGGTCCAGCCTCGAGGAACTAGGCCGAGAGGGACTTCCCAGGAGGGCCCAAGGAGATGCGAGGGTTTCATCGCCTCAGTGGCTAATGGTTAGCAAGTCGCGGTCTTTCAGTAATTTCTTGGGTGGACAGTTACTCATTTAACTTGGAACCGGGAGAGGGGGACTGTCCCCTCCGCACCTGCTCCCGGCAGAAATGCCACAGCGGTGGCCACGCTCATCTTACAGATGGGGAAACGGAGGCACAGAGACGTGTGGCCAAAGGGCGCACGTGGGTTCCGCAAGGAGTTTTGAGCACCTCCGTTATGCCAGACGCGGTTCCACGAGCAGGAAGTAGCCTGGGGAACAGGGCAGCCCAGCCCCTAGTTTCACAGAAGGAGGCAGTAAACAAAGCCACACATAACGAAGGCTGCAAAGGGAAAGGATGGGGCGAGCGAGAGCCAGGGGCTGATGTAGTCTGGAGGCCTCTCCAAGGAGTGGTGTGTCCCCTGCAGCCGTGAGGAGGGGCAGTGTGACTCAGCAGAGTGAGCAGCCTGTGGGTCCCTCGGATGGGGGGCGGGGCAGGTCACGGAGCCTTTGCAGGCCATGGGAAGGAGGTCGGCATTTAGTTCCAGAATGCTGAAGCGTGTGTTTAAAAATATATATATATTTTTTTAAATTCAAGTCTAACAGTAAAATGCACACATGTTTGACATACAAACACACTGTAGACACCACTTGGAGGCTCCTAGGCGGGAGGGTGAATTACATCTCCATGAGCATCCCGCCCTCGAGATGCTGCCAGGAATGGGTGGCGGGGGCTCTGTCCCACGGTGAGGCCCAGCTCCAGCCCCAGCACCCAATCGCCGCCCTTGGGTACCTTTTGGTCCACTCACCCTTGCTCTGGGTGGTAGACAGCGTGATGCTGGTAAGAACCAGAGATCACTGGGCACGGAGCAAGCTTCCCGCCCGGGCTCCTGCATGTCTGCTTCCCAGTGGGGTACGGATGGGAGGCCGCAGCCACTGCAGCCCTTGTGCCCTGCAGTTTGGGAGTTTTGGGAGTGGACCACGTACCCGGGTTGTCCCTTGAGTGTGGAAGTCTTTGGGGGAATGCAGACGGAGGGACCAGACAGCGTTGAGTGCAGGCTGTCTCAGGGCAGGCCTGGCCTTGCCTCCTCCGGGTGCTCACGCTCCACGGGGCACTTCTGCGTGGAGCCAGTTTTTCCTGAGCTGAGAGAGGTCATCAAGATTGAGCGTCTGGTCACTGCCCCTCTGCAGGGAGGCGCCCTGCCCAACCAGAAGCCCAGCTGCCCTCCCTCCTGGCCCTTAGTCCCAAGGCCCCACGCTGCTGCACCCGTCTCAGGGCGGCAGTGGGCTTTTATTTATTTTGCCTGAGTCTCAGTGTGTAACTCCCCGGTCAGGTGATAGCTCGTTGCCCCGCTGCGATGGTGCCACGTGCACTTGGTACCAGTGTAATGAGTCAGTACTTCGGGGCCGAGGCGAATGCGGGTGTGGTTAGCGATCACCTGTTGCCTTACGTGATTCTCTTTCTTGGCTTAATAATAAAATAACGATGGCAGCGAAATGAGTTTGAATATCTCTCTCTGTAGCGGGTGGCCGTGGTAAAGGTACATGATTATAAGTAAAGTGGGGCCATTTGCGTATTGGGAAGGGTGGGTGATGTGTGGTCACTGCTAACAGTACACTGCCTCGATTGTTAACCCTTCCTGGGGCGCCTGTCCACATGCTCCCCTGTGACCACTCATCGGCCACCCTGTCTTCGTGATTTGTGGGGAGAGATGGGAACACCGGGACCCTGATCCCAGGCCACTGGGATGGGAGGCTCCTTAAAAACGCTTTCTTTCACATGACACTGTTTCTGGCTTCCAGTTCATTTGTTTCTAAACCCAGGGTTCCTTTCAGTTTTGTAATTAGGCACCAAGATGAGAGCATGAGGGTGCCTTCACCCCGCTTTTATGAGCACATGTCTTTAAGGTGGGAAGGGAAGTGAGCAGTTAATGCGGCAGACTCCTTCACGGTGTCCGCGGGCTCCGGGCTGGGCAGTGGTTGAATCATTAACTTCATCCGGTGGCGGCCGGCACCCAGCACGTGGTACTCTGGACAGGATGGCTGTTTTGTAAGCGAATCCCTAAGAGTGTAAAAGGCAAAGTGCACTGTTGCCCTGACAAGTGAGCTCTTGCTTCATTGCTAGGTTTTACTTCAATTCTTGCCACAAATCATAGCAGGAAAACACATGCATGTGCACACACATGCATAGGTACACACATGCACAGGTGCACAGACGCACATGCACACACATGCACAGTCACGCACGCGCACATGCATAGGTATGCATGCACACACGTGCACAGGTGTGTATGCACACAGGCACGCACACACACACACATGCATAGGTATACATGCACACACATGCACAGTCACACGCGCGCGCACACATGCATAGGTATACATGCACACACATGCACAGGTGCGCATGCACACAGGCACACACACATGCACTCGCAGTTGTCAGCAGGCTGTACTCTGGGCTGGCCGATGCACATGCACACACATGCACAGTCACACGCGCACATGCATAGGTATACATGCGCATGCACACAGGCATACACACATACACTCGCAGTTGTCAGCAGGCTGTACTCTGGGCTGGCCTTCTAGCCTATGACAGCCGAATGCTCTTTCCCGTCTGGTCAGCGGTGCACACCAAGAAGGCGTGTTCGTCTCCACGTCTAAGACCTGTCTCCTAGCGTTCCCTCTCCCCTCGTGGTTAAAGGCACAGGTTAGTACCCCCAGCGACCTGCCCCAGCTTTCCCTTCCAGGAGAGGAGAAAGCACGCCCTGCTTTTCTTTTCGCTTGTCATTGGCATGACATTACCCTGTGTGTGCAGCAACTTCTGCTTTTAGGGAGCGGAAGAAGCGGCAGCCTGTTGGACTGTTCTGACTGTGCCCGCTGGCGCCGTGCCCGGGCCACAGAGGGTTGGCTGAGCTGCACTGAAGCGGGTCTGGTCTCGGGCAGGTGCAGGAGCGGGCAGGTGCGGGGGTTGTCTGACGCCCTGCCCGGCAGTGTTTACAGCCCCATTGTGTTTCTTGATAAAAGGCTGCCCCACCCTTTCAGTGAGCAATGATTGCTGGGGAACTGGGAGGCCATTCCTCGCCCTGAAGTGAACCGACCAGTCCTAAGTGACTAGACCACAGAAATCAGGAAACAGTGTAATTTGGATTTTGGCTTGATTTGGGCAGCCCCAAATGCACCTTATAGAATGTCCTTTTTTGTTTTTTTGTAATGGCTTCCAAATTTGACTAACTTTAAAGTAGACTTTGGGTAGCTTTTTAGGCAAGCTTGGATACTCGGGTGTCCACAGGGAGGACTGAGTTTGCAGAGAGGAGCTTCCACACTTACAGGCCCCTGAGTGCCCCCGCTCCCCCACCCGAAGGCCCTGGCACCAGGACTCACAGTGGCTGGAGGGCGGCTGAGGGGACGCTCGGCTATGGCACTATGTCTTCATCTTTCCCGGCTCCATTGTTCCCCGGTTTTGACATTTTTCCTGGGGCTTCAGATACAAACCATTCCACTTACAAGATCAGTAGTAGCTTTAGGTGGATCTTTAGGTGGGAGGCACCACCTCCTACGTGGAGGCGAGAGAAGGTCTCCCATGCTGCTTGCGGAGGGCTGTGCCCCATGCCTGCTCCTGGGCGGGCCGAGCTCTCACCCCCCAGGAGTGGGGCCAGAGACAAAGCACCCACGTTTACCAGGACCCCCAGAAAACTCAGCTCAGTATGAACCCATGTGCGGTGTGGACCGGATGTCACTCTGTCCCCAGATGCAGGACCGGGAGCTCCAGGCCGTCCTCAGCCTGGCACAGAGGTGACTGCCTGGGACGCGCTCTGTCACCACCTGCATGCAGCTGGGAGACGGGCAGTGGGTTTGGCTGTCATTTTTTTAACCTTAAAATTATTATTTACCCAAGAAACCTGCCATCTCTATGAGGCTACATAACAGTTCCTCCTTCCCTCTCCCTCGCTGCCCCCTCATGAACTTAACTATGAAATCCTCCCTCCTCCCGCATCCTAGGTCTCAATTCCCCTTCTTTCTATTTCTTTTTTTAAAAAAATACTTCTATTGATTACAGAGAGGAAGGGAGAGAGATAGAAACATCAGTGATGAGAGAGAATCATTAATTGGCTGCCTCCTACAGGGGGACCGGGCCCGAAACCTGGCCGTGTACCCTTGACCGGAATTGAACCCGGGACCCTTCAGTCCGCAGGCTGAGGCGCTCTCCACTGAGCCAAACTGGCTAGGGCCCTTCTTTCTACTGCTGCTGCTTCTCCCAGTCACCTCCTCATTCAGTCTGTCCCCTCCCCATTCATTCTCCACACAGCGATTTTTTAAAAATGCCAGTCTCCCCAGGTCACCATTGCCCAAAGGACAGTGACCAAAGAACAAAGACGGGTAGTCTCCCTCGTGGCCCAGCGTCCTGGTCCCTTTCCGACTCCTCAGAACCTGTTTTGAATCTGAATTATTCTGAACAGTTGGACTCCCACGTGCCATGGGTAGAGAGCGAGGCTGGCTGTGGGCAGCTCTCTAAGGCGCAGTGGACACAGTATGCGCAGGCCCAGTGTGGGTTCACGCTGCCAGCCCAAGAAGGCTGGCCTGGACTCCTGACCCTGGAGACCTGCTGGTGCCCTGCTCTGAGTTGTGCTGGGACACCGATGTGTGTGATGCTGTTTTCTCGGGAGGGGGGATATACACGGTGCCGTCACCTCTTGCCTCCCAGGCCCCTGATGGGGCGTGGCTGTCGGGGCAGCCTGCCCTGC